AGCGTGGTGACCGCGACTTGAGCACAGTGAAGTTTACCCGGTGGCTCACAACAGAATATCTGCCAGAGCTCCAGCAGGTGCTGGGTCTTATTGAAAGCACTGAAGCTTTCCACTAAACTTGAACTACTGATAAACTGAGTCACAATATTCATGTAACTCTATTTGCATGTTCAATTCATTTTTAATTTAAGTTTAAAACAAATTTCTACCCAGGACACAGAGGAAATGGAGATAATCCCAGTTGGTAGAAATTTTCAAGAACAATATTTTAACTTTTACTGCAGTGCTTCCTGCTAGTCACTGAAAGTTGATAGAGCCCTTTACATCGGCAAGCCTCACACTGATGACAACTCTAAAGACAAAGCATCAAAATTACATGTAACTGTGTCTAAAAGGATTAATCAGACTGTTATTGCAGCCTTATAGGATCGATTGTCAGTGTCTTGATCCAGAATACCTATACATCTATATGTACTGTACTCACCATCCCAATGTGACTGTCTATGTGTATAATTCTTTTGTTTGCACCATATTCATATAATTTTGAAAGGACAAGCTTTTCAACACCAAACACGACACCATCCTTTCCTCTGATGCCAACAATAGTTCTGTTGAGAAATACAGATTGGTCAATTTATTTCCTTTATGAGGCCTGTTAATTCATTCTCTTCTATTACACACTTCACATGTAAGTCAGAGTGGATTTTAAAGTTCCAGATATTTTTTCCAATATTTCCTGACAGAGGAATGAACAATTAAAAAGGATATGACATCATGTATCCCTCTAGGCATAGGTTTTTCTGATTCCCTGCCTCAAATGTTCTAAGCTTCGAGAAGATGTTTGTTGTGTTGCAAACAAAATTAGCTTGGTTCACAAACTGACAGCTTAACCCATTGACGTCCGGTGCGCCCTCATGCACCTGGAAATAAAACCCCTCTGAAAATCCAGTGCGCCCTCATGCGCACTGTCAGATATGACTTGTTTTTATTGGCTGTAGCTAAGAAACCGTAGTCCCCTGGGTATTGAAATATATCTGAACGTGACCGGCATAAATTAACCTTTCCTTTGATGTTACGTTTTTCATTCTGCGATTCGTGTGTGATTTTTTGTGAATTCTTGAAAATAGTGTTCAGTATTTTAGCATGGCTTCTCGCGGACTTGACAATACTTCACGTTCTTCCAATGAAGAAGAAATCTTTCCTGGTTTTTCTCTTTTGAAGTGGCTGAAATTTGACAGGAATGGCAGAGAAGGCTACAAGAAAACTCTGTGTGATGTTGATCGAGAAATCGGGTAGATCTTTGATTTCGGCAAGCACTAAGGGGGAACAAACTCCAATGTCCATATTTTCGCTAGCGAAGAAGAAGATGATGATGAAGTAGATAGCGACAACGAAGATATGCCTTTGGGTTTCAATGGTCAAACACATTGAGTGAAATTGACATTGAAGAGTTTACCATAATTTCCTCATGGCCCAACGAAAGATCTAGGCGAGGGTGCAACATCGAAAGATTTCCTTAATCTTTTCATCGACGATGGGAGAAAACGAAGTGATGGACGCGCGTTCGAAACATATGCTTGTGAGCAATGCGGCGTTGCATTATGTCAGCAAATGCGTGGCGAACTCTCCTGCTTCTCAAAATAGCACGGAGGAAATTAACTCTTAAAAAACACTTAACCTTAGTTCTTAAATTGTACCTTGTTTTTTATTTTTTTTCGTTCTTTAGAGCGCTGTATTAGGCCATAAAGCCCAATTTCATTTCACCTTCACTTTGCGAGTCGCGAACTGGTCAAAGATAAAAACAACTTTCTTTGTTTGGTATAATCTAAGCATTGTTCGTAGTCCTCTAACTGAAAGGGTTCTATTCAATCGATAGCTATTTCATTCTTCAATAGTTCCATAGACAATTTTCTGCCATGTCTGTGTAGGCTTAACTTGTAACTTCTAGTTTTTTTTACCTCCTGACGTTCACTGATGTCAGCACTGGCGGTAAATTCAAATTTGATCTGTGCAAGAAAACTTATGAATTTCACTCTCTTACCCGCGAGATGACCTGTTTTAATGCAAAATGTTTTTGACTGATTCTTTTTGTTTGCATTTCTGCTGAGTTAAGAGCAGCAATTGAGACTTACTGTGATTTTAAGATGTTTTCATTCCCTTGTACATAGTAGGTAGTACAGTGATGGTCACTTTGTTTACTTTGTCCATACTTTAATACTTTTTTTTTAAAAAAGCATAACATACATCTTCAGGATTTAAGCAGTTTAAGTAATTCTTTATTGTATTGGCAATCATGTTTTAAAGCTTCACTGCTGAAGAGTAAAACCAAGACATAAAATGGTAACTTTGCTTGGACCTTGTGGTTTTTTTTAATTTGACAGCCATTTTGTCTGGATTTTAAGGGGTGGTCCGGGCTGAGGGCTTTGAACCCAATAGGGTTAAACTACTGGGTAGATGATATCACTTTTTCTCTTCAATCAGCTCTTCCAATGCGACTCAACCTGAATATGTGTGAAATCTGGTATTGGGTAACAATTTGAAAAGGAAATATTGGTTAAAAAAATGTCTTGTTTCTGAAATTTAAGTGTAAAACTCATAAGTTTTATCCCAAAAAAGGCATAAAATTGAGGGAAAAATAGAAAAACATCTTTTTCATCTTAGTGACACATGAAATTAAAGTGGATTATGACAGACTATTACTTTGCATGTACAAAAGAACATGGAGTGTGTGTCAAATTCCAGATACACCAAATACAACCTACCCACTGTTCTCTACTGCCTTTACAGCATATTCCACTTGAAAAACTCTTCCATCAGGAGAAAACTGAGATGCAGACAAGTCATACTAGCAGTGGAGAAAAATCAAAGGAACATGATTTACATAATGTTAAAATAATGATGATCATAAGAGTTGTATATGTGCACGATCCTTCGCAGTAAAGCACTATTTAAGCAATAGTGAAAATCAGACCTGAAAAAAATTCAGGCCTGTACGGGATTCGAACCACTGACCTCTGCGATACTAGTGCAGCGCTCTACCAATTGAGCTAACAAGCCAACTGGGAGCAGGCCATCAAATTAATTCGACATAAACCCGTAGATGATAAATCAAACAACAAACATATGAAATACATATATATGAACTGCGGTTATGAAACGTATATGTGCACGATCCTTCGCAGTAAAGCACTATTTAAGCAATAGTGAAAATCAGACCTGAAAAAAATTCAGGCCTGTACGGGATTCGAACCACTGACCTCTGCGATACTAGTGCAGCGCTCTACCAATTGAGCTAACAAGCCAACTGGGAGCAGGCCATCAAATTAATTCGACATAAACCCGTAGATGATAAATCAAACAACAACAAACATATGAAACATATGTATGAACTGCGGTTATGAAACGTATATGTGCACGATCCTTCGCAGTAAAGCACTATTTAAGCAATAGTGAAAATCAGACCTGAAAAAAATTCAGGCCTGTACGGGATTCGAACCACTGACCTCTGCGATACTAGTGCAGCGCTCTACCAATTGAGCTAACAAGCCAACTGGGAGCAGGCCATCAAATTAATTCGACATAAACCCGTAGATGATAAATCAAACAACAAACATATGAAATACATATATATGAACTGCGGTTATGAAACGTATATGTGCACGATCCTTCGCAGTAAAGCACTATTTAAGCAATAGTGAAAATCAGACCTGAAAAAAATTCAGGCCTGTACGGGATTCGNGAAATTTAAGTGTAAAACTCATAAGTTTTATCCCAAAAAAGGCATAAAATTGAGGGAAAAATAGAAAAACATCTTTTTCATCGTAGTGACACATGAAATTAAAGTGGATTATGACAGACTATTACTTTGCATGTACAAAAGAACATGGAGTGTGTGTCAAATTCCAGATACACCAAATACAACCTACCCACTGTTCTCTACTGCCTTTACAGCATATTCCACTTGAAAAACTCTTCCATCAGGAGAAAACTGAGATGCAGACAAGTCATACTAGCAGTGGAGAAAAATCAAAGGAACATGATTTACATAATGTTAAAATAATGATGATCATAAGAGTTGTATATGTGCACGATCCTTCGCAGTAAAGCACTATTTAAGCAATAGTGAAAATCAGACCTGAAAAAAATTCAGGCCTGTACGGGATTCGAACCACTGACCTCTGCGATACTAGTGCAGCGCTCTACCAATTGAGCTAACAAGCCAACTGGGAGCAGGCCATCAAATTAATTCGACATAAACCCGTAGATGATAAATCAAACAACAAACATATGTATGAAATACATATATATGAACTGCGGTTATGAAACGTATATGTAAATACATAAAATGTCGAGAAATAAACCAAACAGAAACTATCTTCCAGAGGATTTTATCTCACTTTTCTAATTAAACCTTTTGTTTCTCGTGCTAGGGCAAAATAACTGTCACACAAATCGAACTGCTAAGTAACCCATGATAAAATACTTATGACTCGAACATTAATTTTGAGCTTTATGGAAAAATGTGTGCGTTGCATTTATGCCTGCAGCAATATGGACCAAAGGCATGTTATTAAAAAGAATAACTGACCATTGAATATTACTTGCCCTAATTGTGTATCAGTTTTTCACCATGACTCAGGGCTTTTGGAAAAGCAACAAGAAATTTTCGAAAATTCTGTGAGTTGTGATTCCTGAAGTAATCTTAGACTCAAAAGAAAACTAGTGATTTAAGCAATAGTGATTTTCACTATTGCTTAAATAGTTAAACTCTATTCATAAGAGTTTTAACACATAATCTCTGCAATCACTGCCAGTCTGCATAGTATAGCAGAACTCGATGAGATTGCATGCATGCAAAGGAAATTCTGTTAGGTGAAATGTTTCGAAAGAAAGGAAAAAATCATGCATGCATCTGCAATCCTCTGCGGACAGGAATCACAGTTCACCCAATATATTCCTACACAACTGCTTAAATATTGTGGATGGTGGCAGTATTCTACATTCATCCTGATTTCTTTTGAGTCTAAGATTACTTCAGGAATCACAACTCACAGAATTTTCGAAAATTTCTTGTTGCTTTTCCAAAAGCCCTGAGTCATGGTGAAAAACTGATACACAATTAAGGCAAGTAATATTCAATGGTCAGTTATTCTTTTTAATAACATGCCTTTGGTCCATATTGCTGCAGGCATAAATGCAACGCACACATTTTTCCATAAAGCTCAAAATTAATGTTCGAGTCATAAGTATTTTATCATGGGTTACTTAGCAGTTCGATTTGTGTGACAGTTATTTTGCCCTAGCACGAGAAACAAAAGGTTTAATTAGAAAAGTGAGATAAAATCCTCTGGAAGATAGTTTCTGTTTGGTTTATTTCTCGACATTTTATTTATCTCTTACCCCGAAATAAAATAAGAATCTAAACTTCTAGAACAAAGGTGAATCGAGATTTAACACTAGAAACTGTCAACATGCACATGGTACACTCTTTTCGAATTTCATTTCCCAAACCGGACTTAAAAGCCTCATTGATTACATATCATAGTTAAATAATGTATGCTTCTACTTACTCCGGTTCCTATAGAACTCATGGTCTAAGAAATTGGCCTTATTTTCTTCAAAGAACACCACAAAAATCTCGATACTATTAATTTCAATATGGCCGCCACATGGGATGCCGAGAGAAGACTAAGACGAATGACTTAGCAGTTTACTACGCATGTCTCCGATGTCTCTAGTAGAAAGGGGTCTCCGCAGAGGTAATTTTTTTCAGGAGGGAGTACTAGGGGATCTTCACGTGCTTCTGGTGGTTAACGTTCCATCATTCTATTGTTCTATCCCATATTAGGGCTGCGGTTTGACTTCCGGCACGTGCAGGGAGGTAATATTACTTTAGTATGGAATACTACTGAAGCAAATTTGCTGTAAACAATCGGTCGTCGATTGAGCAGAACAGGTCGATGAAGAGTCCTAACAGGTTTGATGCACTCAAATTATCTCATTTCTAGTCTTGGAGTTTTCCTAGAGATGCTGCCATTTTAAGTTGTGACGAGGAACCAGAAAAAAATGTGGGAATTTTCAAGGAACCAAATTTTTTACATTTAAATTAGTCAGTAAACCGGAAATATTCGCTTCGCTCTTCTCAGTTGGTTTGAAAAATTTGATTACGGTGCAGTTATAGCAGTGTCAATAATCTGACTTGCAAAGCGCCGATTTCAGCTGAAATTTGCTGTTCTTAATCGCCCCGTACGATTCGATCATTGTATCATTATTTGATGCAAATTTTTCAACTGAACTGCAGCAGATCAAGGGATTCGAATTATCTCGAATAACAAAACAATTCTTTGTTATATTTTGCCCTACAAGATAGTGCCTTGATGCAATGTACTGTTGCCAGACTACTAGCATACAGTTTAGTACAATTTCTTGGATTGTAAGATTTGATGTTAAACCCTAAGGTCTATAAAGGTGCAGTCTATTTTTATACATTTTCTGAGAAAATTACCTCTCATTATAAGAACAGTCGCTGCAACATCAACATGCCAGTATGCTTATGAATCGATTTTTAGGGTTCAGGGCTGTACGATTCGTTTGCGAATTGCGGTTATTTCAAGGTGAATTTTTGTAGTCAAGAAAGGTTTTGACTTGACAAATTAGCCTTGAGCGTATAAATGGGAAGGATGTCCAAAATTGAGAAACTCAAAGCTAGGGGAATATTATTAATGCTCGCTCGCGAGAAGCCGAATCACAGGAAAAAAAGGCCAAAACGGGGGAGATAGTAAAATGGAGGCTTTTAACTGTCCGAACAGTGGCCGTTTTGCACGCCTTGTACCCAAGCCGGAGGCAAAAGAGAAAGCTAAACTTGACAGCTGGTTGTCAAATACTGAAACTCTAGGGAATTTGATGTGAAGATTCAATGCAAAGTCGTGATTAGCAGGGCGCGTTTGTCTAGGAATAGGAAAAAATTTGGTTCCTAACTCTTTTTAGTGTAAATGTTTAAGAAGAGTCACAATATTTTTCCCTTCTCTCGCTCAATCGTCATTCACTTTATCCACGGTCTTTATTCGATTCCCCAGCTTGGTATCGAGTTATTTCCAACTCGGTTCTAAAGTGGCCTATTAGAAGCGAAAGGAACTCGATTGAGGATTCGATTCTTTATATTTATGCTTGTTACTTGTCATCCATACCTGTTCAAGCAGTTATTTAGAGATTTGAAATTTCTTTTGTCGTCTATTTTCGTTCATTCAAAATAATTTTGTTATATACTAGGCAGTGTTTTGAAGTTTTGGTTACATGTACATCTGAATTCCCCTGGGAAATTGAGAGTGTGAAGTATCTTGTTTCGGTTTGCTACTGTTTTAAATCAAGCTTTGCCCGACCTCATTCCTAAACACTTGGAAGTAAAATAGTAATGAAAATGTCCATAACTATACTTCAAAGAGCGAAATTGTTTAGTTTTTCTTTTCATAATCCAGACGAATATATTAAACTCCCAGTGCTATGCAAACGTGTATGTACAATTCGACAGTTCCTTGTTACTCTTGGCCCGTAATTTCGACACCAAGATTTTAAGATTGTGTAATGCAGTATATTATTCTGCAAGGGATTGACTCGTGATTGATACCTTACTCTTACAAGATTCTCTTTATTTTTCCCACATATTTACAGTTAATTATGTTGACAAGTGAAGTTCGCGTAACGATAAATTCTGCGACATGAAGTCACCTTTGACACCACGGACCTTGGAGCTTTTCTATCAAATCGAAGGTGGAAATGGCGTCCTTGATTTACTCGCCCCCGAAGTTTTTTACCAAATTATGGTTAATCTCGAGCCTGAAGACATCCGAATCTGCATGTGCGTCTGTAGAAAATGGAGGGTAAGTAGGAGAGTTTCTACAAATTTGCGCCGTATTCTGCGGGGGAAGGTTTGGTGCAAGTGAACTGAAAACTTCGAGAGTTTTCGCTCCTTTTTCAGAGGTTTATTCTTCCCAGATCGTAATAAGCCCCTATCATGACAACACCATAATAGGAGAGTAAGGAATCAAGTGTTGTTTGAAACAAATATTTCCAAAAGTTTCTCATATTATTATTTTATTAAGACAACGGAAACTTGTTATTTTTGGGTTTGTTTTGTCGTTGTGCTTTTTTTTTTTTCCCGCAACCGTCGTTATTCGCTTCTATGTAAGACTAGGCAATTTGACAACAATTCCAAGTTAACGCTGTTTTTCTGTTTGTCTGATTGTTGTTTTGCCTTTTTTTTTTACAGTTGCTCTTGTCCACGGGTTACTTTTGGAGAAATTACATGAATCACTCGTTCGACTTCACGGATGAAGACGAAGAGAGACTCACAGGAATGCTACACGAGCTTGGAAGTTCGTGGTTCTTCGGTTGGGGACAAGGAATGGTTCAGGGATTATCTGAGGGGGACTTGTTCGAGGAACTCCCAAGGCGCTGGAAATCAGGTATCGTGCACCCAGTTGGGCCGGATGTCCGGAGTAAAGTGCCGGACTATAAAGCCATGTACGAATCACTCTATCAGCTGCAGAAAATACAAGATGAAGTGAACGAAAGAGAAATTGTTTACAGTAAGTTTATGTTTTATTTTACCGTTGTTTATGAAATAATGAGTTCTTTTATTTACGCTGGAAGTTGGTACGCCAAAGGAGATNTGACCGAGGTCGCCAGTACAGACCGAACGCAGTGAGGTCTGTACCAGCGACCGAGGTCAAGATTCTCCCATACAGACCGACCTAGCTCGGTTAATAAGATGTTTATTATATGGCTGTGTCTTATATGCCAATTTTTTATATTCTTTGTACCTTTTTTTTTTCTAGACCGGTCTAGATGCCGGTCTAGATGGGAAAATCTAGACCGCTTTCAATATTGATTTCAGCCAATCAAATTCGTGAATTCGGTAGTTCCCAGTCCTCGTGAGACACAGCCATATAATAAATTGAGATATAATTCTCAGCTTTTTCATGGTGCCATCTTTTTCTCTTCAGATTCATTTTAAAGTTAAATCGTTTTGCTTTGTCAGTTTCACCTTAATAGATAAATGTAACAGTGCGCACTAGGACGCCACACCGCAGATGCCGAGCACCGTGCCAATTCAGGTACTACGGTCCCCCCGGCTGACGGTAATCAGTGTACAGTAAGTGACTTACAGCAAAGTTTTCTACAGGGGGGGGGGAAAGAAGATTTTCATAAGGGTGGACTTTAATATGGAATTTTTTGGTAATGATTAAACTTGGGAACATCGTTTATCGGCGGCCATATGGTCGGACCGACGAAAGAAACCTTCTTTCCGTCGGTACTAGGCAATGAGAGTTTGATAGACTGATTTTGTCTTACTTTAGTTTAAGGGTATCAGATTGGTTTTCAACTAGTATTCGCCGATAATTATTGCTTTTGTTTTATGCTTGGTCTATCCGGGAAAATCGCGGTTGCGACTTGCAAAGGTGCGTTTTTTCCTCGCCCTGCCTTTGCAGTTCAGATCATGCCCGTCTTTGTTTCGCGGTTTCTTCGACTGTGTGTATTCTGAAATTGTGATTGGCGAATGGGAGTGCTTCAGTTTTCACGAGTGGGAGTAGTTTTTGAACGCCGCTCTATGGTGTAACTCAATAAAACGGCCTTTCACATGTCATTCATGGGTTTTTCTTTTGTATTTCACGTCTTTGGGAATTCATCTCCGTTTGACTTAAATTTGAATGTTCTTGTGCTTCGCACGAAACGATGCAACTTTTCGTAACTGAGCTGGTATCCTGCTCAGGCGTTATTTGGGATGTCATGGAAGAGAGCACTTCTTTTTCACTTTGTTCTAATTTCTCCCGTAAATTTTCTTTCAGCTGGTTCTTCGGAGAACAGTGGAGAATGCCCAGTTGATATGCTGTTATTCCGCTGGGAACATGACAAACTACCTTCTCAAGAGGAGGTCATGGAGATTTTTCATTTGAATACAAATCTACGGTTAGACATAACTTACGAGAGGTCGGAGAAGAACTTCGCGGAAGAAAACGAACTCGGAGAAATATTCAAGTGCCGACGGAAACTGCCTAGCGAGAGCATTTTCTACGAAGCGCTGCCCAAGGTTTTGGACGATGGGTTAGTTGAGAGATTTTACCATACGGGTTTTTTTATTCTCAACATAGGTTTGAAATTACCTTTTCAGTTTAGGATTTTGACAAGGAAAAGCCGCACAATGTGTTCATCCGCTTACGCCGAACTGTAGGGCGCTCAGACATGATCTGGCTCTAACTCAATGTTTTTGTCTTTCTTGAACAGGTTTATAAAAGTACACATCGACTACCAAGGTCGCACTAACACATTCAGACCCTGCCCAGTCTTCATTCTTACCCAGCTCTCGCCCGGTTGGTGTGGAGGTGTTTTGACAGGAGTGTGGTAACGAGCATGCGAACTCACTCTTCCAAATCACATGGGGCCAAGATCACATTTGGCACACGCGGATTACGCCATCCACCCTGAGATGACGTGAATATTAATATTATTAACGTCCGCTCGATATTCGGGAAACTACAATGGTAGTAAATTCCAGACACGAATCGTTGAGTTAACAGTTTTGTTGACAATACACCAGACTAAATAACGACCAGATTGTCTTGAGTCGACATAGTTCGGAAGATAGCTTTTGTTATTTGAAAAGTCTGCGAAGGGCTCGTACTTTCTCGCTCTTGCCATGTAGTAAGCTTTGTCTATATGCATCGTATTAAGTTGTGCATCGCTGAATTGAACTGCAAAGGGAGGCAAGCATGGTTCGTGGCACCAGGGAATTCGAGTAGGCTCATAGCGTATCACTGAAAGTGCTCTTCAACGACTATGGCTCCATGTCTCAAACTCCTAAGATTTAATTCCTTGTGAATCGTTGGGGAGAATTTTAATAAGATGTCAGGATAGTTACACCCTCTAACTGACAAGTTTCTCAATTCTCACCACTTGTTTCCGGAGTAATGTGTTGTTATTGTAAGAAGTTGCCTGTTAATCCTGTCTGAGAGCCAAATTTTTCTTCAAGTTCGACTCAGGGAGCTCTAATCGCATTTGTAGAGCCTTCCTTTATCAGATTTTCAGCAGGAAATGTTGTTCATCTCTGTGAATTGAATGCGTTTCTTTGCGTAATGGAAAATTCCCTTTTACCTATCCTTTGTTGCCCAATGCATTTTTAAAAATGTCTATTCTATTAACTATTTAATACATACTGAAAACTCTAATAAAAAGTGTTGAGTTTCGTTAGGTAACGTAATATGGCACAGCACCGGCGAATCACCAGGGAGGGTTGGTTAAATAGGGCATTATTCATTTGATTGACGAGAATTATCTAGTATTGCTATTATTGTTCTTAACTACGCTTTGTGATTGGTCGACAAAACTTGCGACGCCCTCTCAACCAATCAAGTAAATCTGAACCAGTCGTGACCTGATCAATCAAGATTCTCCCTCAAAGAAGTTTGCCTTGGTTTTCTCATTGTCTAATCATTGTGTTTACCTTTGATAGCATTTACTGTACTTGCTTTGCTTAATTTTTTCGAAATTCAATTGAAAACTACATGACTTGGATGCACATGATGTTTGAGTAAAACACACGTGAAAGAAGAGACGCTCGTATCTTGTGTGTAATTGATTACAACTTAAAGCATATTTCCTTCACTTTGCATTGGTTAAGAATCCACACGTGACCTGCGAATAACTGCTCACAAACAATTGTGCGCGTCGGCGTATGAACAATGATTAGTTACAAAATACGCCCGGTCAAGCTTAAGTAAAATGGCCGATAGCTTTCTTGGGCAGAGTAAGAGTGACCTGACAGGGTTGATTGAATTTATTTTCCTCTATGCAGTTTCTTGTTTGGTTTTTGTTTTTGATGGCGTTACTAGGATTCCCGCCTTTCTCTCTTTGTCTCACGCTCGAGTTAAAACACTACTACAACTTTCTTTATTTCAAAGCAGAGCTATTCTATCCGTACCAGCACGACAATTTTGAAATTGCAGAGCCTTGCAGGATGTGACACATAAATCGATACCTTTCCTAGAGTTCCCGTTGGCTTTGCGAAGTAGAGAGTTAGCGCGGAATCCCAAGAGCTAAGGTTAGATTCCACATGGTAACTTGGGCTTTTTTCCTTTTCCTACACGTGTGACAGGACGAAAAAATATCTCTTAATTTTTGCCTGTGATGATAACATCTACAGCGTTTACTGGGGCCTTTGTACAGATTAGCCAGCGACATGTACGCTTCAGATAGCGGCGAAAGTCACCCATTGCACATAGTATATCACCACATTAACGAAACCGTTGGAATACCCCAGTATGGCATAACGATGGTTAATGATTACTCGAGTTTCATAATTAGTATCAAAACTGAGACCCATACCACGTTAAATCATGATAGCTTCAGCTCCAGAAGGTAATAGGGTAAGATGGCTGCCAGCGTTACTACAATCAATGTAATCAGAGATCGCCTCTTTGTGGCTCTTACCATGACTTTAATACCGTCATCGCGCTGAATGTCTATTTTCCTCTTCATTCTTGTGTGGACAGTCCAGATGAGACACGAACAGATAACAACGATTAAAAAAAAAAATCGGAATAATGTAATGAACGGTTATGTATTGAGTAAGCAGGGGTTTAAATAGGAAGTAATTATTGTCAATGCGGCACATTATAGTGTAATGAGTGGCATTAACATCGCGTCTTAAGCCTTTGACCAATGAAGAAGGTACTAAGGCGTAAATAGTGCTGATACCCAGGCAAACCACAACAGCTTTTGAACAGTGGAATTTTGGAATAGACGTGTTTTTTTATGAGTTGAAAAATACTTTCCCGGCAACGCTGATAATCAGTAAATTATTCATAGTAACAGACGGAAAATAGAAATTAATAAAACGAACCAACTTGCAACCCCAATTGTGATAAAAAAAAAACTATCGAAATTTAATCGAAAACAAATCAGGGGAACTGCAATAACTGCGCAAACAGCATCAGATACAGCTAGGCTAAATATGTGGGCATATAAATTCTTCAGAAAGGAGCATGCCCTTAGAATGGGAGTGGCATTTTTCTTTGAACTGAGATAACGCAGAATGTTTACATTTCCCAAAAATGTTGTTATTCTCACAGATGTTAGCACTATTGTCAGTGTTAGTCTGATGGAAGCACTCAATGGAGAAAAAACATGAACTTTACTGAATAACTCTGTTCCGTTTTTATCCGAGGATAGATTTCCTTTGGAGAAGCCGCACGTCAGATTCGTACTATTTTTATCTTTCATTAAGGATCTCGCGCGGAATCTGTGAAGAAAAGTGCAACAAAGTCTGATACTCTGAAGACTTGAGGTCGAGCAAATTCACTGAATTTGCTCGAGATTGAATCTTGACATCGAACCGCGAAACTACTCGCCATAGTTATTTCATCAGATGTCGTTTTCTTCATCGCTTTTCAACACGAAAAGAACTCGATCTTGTTCATTAACCTCCTACAGAGAAACACGGCGGTCAGACGTCTGCTCATATCCGAAGGTTGTAATGACTGGCTCGTGTGTTTTTAGGCCGTCATGATCCGAGATCCAGGATGTCTCGCATGAGTTTCAGACAACCACACAAGCCAGCAAGGCACGCTTTTTTAAAGTGTATAATTTTTTTTGGCAGAATTCGAACCAGAATGGTAAATCAATTGGATACATGCACCCTTCACAGTAATGCAAAACTCCGGATTTCAGGTTGTACTCATTAATTTGTGGCCCTGTGCGCAAGATGCGATGAGTTGCGCGTGTTTCGTTCCCTGAATGGTTGAAGATGAAAAAGTGATAAAAATGCTCACAGCTGATTTAGTGATATGGTAAAAGTTTATAATAAGTTTTGATTATATCAAATAGCAGAAAATGTACCTAGAAAATCTATTAAGGAAAACCCACGCTAAAGAACATAAATCACATCACTGAAAAAAGACCTTGAGACTTCGTTTTTCTGAGATATCCCCTCTACGGTAAAAGGTTAACAAATGACAAAATGTGCAGGATGAATAAACTAATTTTGAAGTTCAAATTACCTTGAGTTTCAGGTCTCGCTCGTGTTTCCCATCATCAGCGCTCGAAAAAACCTCCAAAGAATAAAAGCTCTGGTCGACCGCCGGCCTTTAACACAAGCTTGCCGTTTAAAACAATCCCTCCGTCTTCAGAGTAGATATTTGATGCAGGTTAGAAGCGCGAAATTCACAATTAGCAAATTTTCATAATTCTCTGTTCACTTACAGCGTTTGATTGTGTTCGTAGTTTTAATTGGGATGATATAATTGTAACTTGCCAGACTTCTCCTGTTATTGGTAAACAAATCTTTAAAAAGAGCAAGCTAAATGCGCGGAAATGTCTCAAAGGATATAGTTAGGAGAAAATTACAAAAATTGATAAGCCGTAATGGTTTCCGTCCAAACCGTCATTAAAGGGCCCTAGTCACCCTTAATGCACTGCGCGCGGAAGCAGTGAAATCGGCCATTTTCGATGCCATCGATATTCTGTCGTTTTCAAATCGCATTGCATCGGCGCAACTAGCCTTCTTTCGAGTGAAAATTTATTATTGAGAGTTAGTTGAACTATTACGTAAGAGATTTGCAGGGAAATTTTTGGACGTGCAACGTCAGAATTCCCGTATGTAAACGTAAACATGGGCGTGGCTGACTAGGGCCCTTTAAATGCCATCAAAACTCTCAAAAGTAATTTATTAATTCATTGCAAGATGCATGCGGACGTGACTCGTGAACGCATGAGAAAAATTGTAAAGTTACCTTATTATAGGAAATTAACGCTGCATGAATTTAACGCGAATTGTTAAAATTCGCGTTAATTTAAGTCCCGTTATTTTTGTTGAACGTTAATTTCCGCGACGTCAATTAAGTGCAGCGTTAATTTTCGCGCTCTTCATTTCCAGTATTTTAACCCCAATTTTGGAACCTTTCCAGACATTCTTGACACTTAAAAAACATTAACTACAAGCTTTCTTTCTTTCCATTTACCCTTAATTTTTCATCTTTCACAGAAGCTAAGGCGAAAGTTTACAATATTTCGAGTTCAGTTCAATCTTTATCGCTGTCAGAAGTGATGTCAATATCTTCTCCTTTGATTTTTTGGCCAAGATAGATTTCGTCAACATAGTCTTTCTCGACAGAGGATGAGACTTCTTCTGTTTTCTCTTTCAAAATCGCCAGACTTCTCGCATTGCTCCACTGGACAGAAACGACCATTGGTATTTCAAGGCCTCCTTGAATTAGTGGCGATCTTTTCGGCTTCACCGAAATAACTCTTCCTGTAAATTTGGCTCCTTGTTCCAAAGCATACCACACATAACAGCTCAGTTCTTTTGGTACATGACCAACAACCGCATGGCTCAGTTTTGTTCAGTTGTAAATTTCTTGGTAGCCAGTGTTGAAGTAAATTTGTTCCAGTTGTCACCACCAACTGTGTCTTAATCTCGTTAATTACCTTTATTGTGAAATTCTACCTCCTCTTTCGCGTTAATTTTCTTTATTCCAAACTCGTTTTCCGTTAAATTCGCGTTAATTTAAGTCGCGTTAATTTCCAACACCTTAATTTCATGGAGCGTTAATTTCCTATAATAAGGTAAAAAAAGAACGCGAGTATATCATGTTGTAACTTGGTTATAACGTTGGACAGAAAAATTAAAAGCGTGGACCTCATTTTACCGAAGTTTCGACCCTTTTAAACCCTATAACTCCCATGAGGGACCAAGACAGAATTTCTCCTTACAATATCAATACAACATCAAGCAGACAAGTGATGAGAATAACGAAATATCAGTTATGAGATTATAAGTTCACCCAATACCGAAATCTCCGGACTTACACCATAACGATTGCATGGCAGACAGTTAAGAAAATCATACTACTGAGATACTGGGACTAAATTATTTCTAGCAAATATTCGCAATCCTACTGTTATATGCACCAAAATCTAATTATGTTTTTATTTTCCTTGTTAAGCGGATTTTCCCGCGAGAAATTGAAAATTGCTATCAATATTACTACGAGTTTTCTTGTGTCCCTTGAAATAAAAAAGAGGACTACATTGTAGCTTGGTAATAATGTTGGACAATTTCATTCTTCAAAGAATGGCCTTATTGTGCAGTAGTTCAAACCTTAATTCTCCCAGCGATTTCGTAATCTTTCTATTACACGCAGCAAAATCTACTGGTGTTTTTCCTTGTCCTTCTTTTGGTAATTGTCAGATGTAGTTCTCCTCGTTTAAGGTGGTTTAAAATTAGTTGGGAATTTGTGAACGCCAATTGCATGATGCAAGGATACTTCCACAAGTTTTCACGTGTTCCCTTAAAAAAAATATTGTAACTTGGTAATTATGTTGGGAAGTTTCAATCTTCAAAGGGTGACCTTATTGTGCGAAATTTTCCAACCCTAACTAATTGCGATTATTTCGTAACTCTGCTGTTACGTGCAACGAAAGCTTCTGAATTTTTTCGTTTTCCTTCTTGGTGGTTTTCTCGTGTGATGTAGGAAGCTGCCAAATGCAGTTTTCCTCACTTAAGATAGCCCGAAATCCTATTGGCATTTCTCAAAACCAATGCCTCGACGCAAGGAAGTCCCACAAGTTTGAGGGTGTTTCCTTGAAATTGTAACTTGATAATAATTGTAACTTGGTAATGATGTTGGACAGTTTCATACATCAAAGCACAGGCTGACCATCTTAAATATCCGTGGTTTCGGGTTTCTATGGTAATGGGTCCTGCGGCATTTACATAGCCGTCATAAATGTAGTTCAAATATATTGTCTCTAGAATTTGTCCCTAGTAGTCAGTCTTCCAAAAAAAAAAAACAGCTCCGAATAAAGCTTAATAGTTCATTACTTGTTTGGAAGTGTTTTTTTCTGCCAGAAAGCCTCAAAATCGCTTGTTTGGGGCTTTCAAAGTTCGGCGGTTAATTCGGCTCGCTCTCCATAATTAAGAAATGCGACAAGGCAGGCAGTTTAGGCATCCAGATCGCACACCACCTCGTACTCGAGACAAAAATGTTTTACTCTCTAGGTCTTATTTTCCCACCGAAATTCAACAGGCCACAGAAGGATTATCCAGCTGTTACGGTGACTCGGTTTTGAATCATTCCATTCAACGGTTTACGAGAAAATGGAAAGCAAAGTCGTAGATTTGGAGCTCTTCTAGGGATCCGGACATGAGTAGTCTCCCTCGTCACGCAACGCTCCTCTCCACATTTGTGGGAGGGAGCGTTGCGTGACGAGATTAAAAACGGCTGCGAGGGAGACTAGGACATGAGGGGTACTCAAAGGAATTCCAAACATGCGTTAACAACCGTTAAAGCAAATTCAAACTTACATATCTAACACTCGATGGGTTTTCCTGAGAATGTTTACAAAAACTATCTCGATTCTTATTGGTCGATCTTGGCTTGCGACATCCGCCGGAAGTACAACGTAGCGCCTTTGGGGCCCCGACAGGGAATACAATTTTTCACATATTTGTACCTCGGGTAGGGTGGCTGGGTCCGAAATTCGATAAGCGAAATTCGATAACCTATTCAGGCTAGGATGGCCCAATTCGTGATAAAATAATGTTTTGAGATGCAATGAATATGTGAAGTTCATATATTTTTGAACTGCGGTATTAGATACGTGTGATGTGCGATCCTCGCAGTAGATAGCGCTATTTATGCAATAGCGAAAATCAGACCTGAAAAAAGTCAGGCCTGTACGGGACTCGAAAAATCGAGTCCCGTACAGGCCTGATTTTTTTCAGGTCTGATTTTCGCTATTACATAAATAGCGCTATCTATTGCGAGGATCGCACATCACACGTATCTAATACCGCAGTTCAAAAATATATGAACTTCACATATTCATTGCATCTCAAAACATTATTTTATCACGAATTGGGCCATCCTAG